TGCCAAGAAAAATTGTTAAAATTCTCGATTATACGCAGGTTAGAAGACATGCAATAAAACTTCCAAAATACAAAAGTAAACTTGATTATGTATGCGAAATCGAGCCACCAGGGCCAGCTTTATTAATTGCTTTATATAATTGCAAATACATACATTTCTTTGAGAAATGACAGGTTAAATTGGTTTTACTATCTAATTTAGAGATGAAAAACAAATACAACTAATTTATTCTCATCTTGATATTGTTAATTTCAATATTATACTATTGTGAAACCTATAATCAAGCAGGAGTCGTTAGTAATATAAAATGCAAAGCAATCGATCAAAGAAATATTTACAATGGAACGCACCATTATTTCCTCAACGTCAGTAACATACTTCGTATTATTATTCCACCAACATGCAATCATCCTAATTTTTGTAAAGTCGAGGTCGTGCCAAATGTATACGACTCGAAGACCCTTTTGCAGTTGAGAATTGGTTGGCCAGCAAGGATCCGAAATGGCATTTTCTTCACAGGTGAAATGGACAACCCATGTTTCATCTGCAGGTAATTTCTTATCGTACAGGAGTGCCCGTTCATAATGTTCCTTGAGCCCTTGTTTTGTTGCTGTAGCTAAAAGTTCGAGCACAATGATCGGATGATCAGGTCGTGATATGACTATGTCGACATATTTATTATTAATATGCCCACCAGCACAATATTTTAGGTGCCATTGTCCCGTTATTGTAAATCCACCAAGCCAATTTGATATGATCCGGTAAAACTCTGCATCATACACTGATTCTCTGGGAACCCTTTCATTTTTGGCATTGTTCACCAGCACACGAGCAACCTTATAAGAACTGAGTGACTTTATAATTTCTTTGTCGAATACAAGGACTGTCTGCTTTAAAACCTTAAATATGTCCAAAGTACGTGGAGAAGAATGATAGGGGACTTCCGTTTGAGGTGAAGTCGGAAATACTTTAGGGACTATTTGCTGATAGATTAGCGAGCGCACCAAGGGCGAAGAAACTTTATATGTTCCAGCATCTTCTCCAGGGATCAGAACTCCTTCTGCTGTGAGAAACATAGCTAGATCATTTTGCATCCCAACACGTATAGTGTCAAAATTCGCCAAGAAATCGGTTCGGAGGAGTCTCACAGCTTGTTTTATTTCAGTATCATCTCTCAAGAGAGTACTTTTCATCTTTATAAACGTCGAGTACTCTAAAATCTCATCTCCTAGTGAGAAGTTGGCGAAACGTTGCCATATGTCATAAATCAAGTGATTTCCCTCCGAAAGTAGCTTTCTATAAATCGCACGTCCACAAAGGCAGACAAGACCAGCATGTCTGTTGAAAGAATATAGTAGCAAGAAAATTAAGACTTAATAAAAATAATATTACGTAACTCCAGTCACTTACCC